TGATAAAAATTCATGGGGGGGGTGTTCCCTTCCTTAAAAAAAATTTCCCCCCCCCCCCCCCCCACCCCCCCCACCCCACCCAGAAGGACCTGCTGAAACTTACTTGTCCAGGTCAATGTCCAGAGCTCTGTATGGGTCATTCGGGTCTCTGTCCTCGTCATCGCTGGGTAAGGCATTCTGGGGGAGGGGGGGGGCGGTGCCAGGAGTTAATAATCCTGTTCAGAAGCACATCACAGAGAAAGCTCTCACATCCAGAGTTCCCAGGCCGCACCTCTGGCATCTCCTCGGTGACGATGTCCACCGTCTGCGCGGGTCTGATGTCCTCCTCACTCTCCGGGCCCGACTCATTGCGCCGATCGCCCCGGCTTCTCTTCTCCCGCTTCTTCTTCTTCTCCTTCTTTTTGCCCTTCTCCGCCCTGTCCCTCTTCCGCCGCTCCTCCTCGATCTTCACATACTTGTCAGACGTGGCCATGCCTAGAGGGGCATTGAGGAGATGGGGGCAACCAAGCTCAATGAATCTCCTGAACCTGGCCGACTGACGTGTGTGAAGCTGGTCTCTCGGGTCCGGATAAAGTGGAATTTTAGTCGGGCCACTACAGCATAGGGTGAATAAATCACATTCGAGGCTCAGACACAGAGCCAAACGAAAAAAAAAAGCCACATCGCCCCCTGCAGGCCTGACTGGAGGCTAGCATGCACAAACGCCCACCTGGGACTTTAAGGGGCACGCTGAGGTCAATCTGAACGACCGGAATGTGCTCCACACCCATCGTGTCCTGGTACCCCTGCAAGCAGAGAGATGTCAACCTGAGGCACGTCAAAGAGACACAGGCTGCAGAGGTCGGCCCAACCTGCTCAGGGAATCCCTATTACATTATGGATTAGTGCCGGGTGAAAAGCCAGCCTCTCAGGATGGGGTGTGGAGCTGCAGATGCAGACCGGCACGCTCCATCGAGCCGTCCGGGACCCTACCTTGGGGGCTGGGGTGGAGCCCTTGATGTAGAAGGGATTGTTGGCCTGCTCCTGTTTCCGTTCCTCCCGGCGCTAGAGAAATGAGGAGGAAGGCAGCGTTAAAGGACTCGGAGACCCATCCACTGGCGCGTCGGAAGGGGCACGTGAGAGAACGACAAGCGGCACGGGAAAGATCCTACGCTGCCGTGCAAAAGGCAAACCGCTGCGATGGCATGTTTTATCAAAACTGAGTTATGAGTTTTCAGACATTTGTCACGGCCTCCGCTGCCTCTTTATTAAGATGATGAAGATGGTATGTGTACTACGCTGATACTTGTAACTATTTTTAATTAAAAAGCTGCTCACAAAAATTAAAATCGAGTTATGATTGAAACTGGGTCTGGTGAGTTCCGTTTTACAAAACATCTTAATTCACTTCTACTTTCTCATTTACCTACCTGCTACACATGAATGGACAGTCAAAGAAACTTCAAAGCCCTGTCTCAGTTGTAGTGTAGTTACCGCGTTTGGCCTTTGTGGGGCAGTGTGTTTAAGGCAAAGTTAGCACCGCGCTAATCGCACCGCCGCTTCCGCCTGCGAGCCCTTGGATTATCGTCACCCTGAAAGGTGCACGGCTATGGCAAGGCAGGCGTACCCTGGCCAGCTCCTTCTCGTCGACCTCGCGGTGGCGCTGTCGCGGCTGCTGCGGCTCCTCCTCGGCGAAAGCGGACTTGGATTTCTCGTCCTCCGACTCGGGCTCCGACGGAGGGTCGTTGATCCAGGCGTCCAGATCCAGCCTGAGGACACAGCCATGCATTTCCAGCACGATAACACCAGGGGGCGGTATCCACAACAGCATTCAGTAGAAATCATTAAAGAGCTCGCGTTAAGGAGCGGGTTCTGACCCTTCTGGGACAGGTACTTTCTTCTGGGCCTTGGGGGCAACAGGATTCAACTCTCCTGCGAACAAGGCCGTGACCTCCTCACCAACGTCCACATCCTTCTGCTGTAGCTTCTGGATATATTTTACTAGCTGTAAAAAGCAGGAGGCCTAGGAGGAGAGGTGGACGGGAGGAGGGCGGGTGAGGATCAGGGTGATTGCAGACCAACCCTTAATGTTCACCGTCCCACTCCAAGGACTCCCGGTCTTGCTCACCCGTTCCTGCACCTCCAGGTCGGCGCTCTGCACGAAAATCGGCAGCTGGTCAGTCAGCAGCTGGATGGTCTCCTGAACCGCCGCGCCCTCTTGTGACCCCTGCTGGCCGTTACGCAGCACTGCGGCGAAGAGCTTGGCAGCGTTCTGCACGTAGACTGCCTGGATGTGCCCCGGCAGGGTGGACACCTTGGGCCTCAGCATGGCTTCCAGGGTCTGGACCGGGTCCTCCAAGTACCTAGGAGGGTTATGGTAAATGTTTAAGGCAACATTCCATAAGAATGACCAAAAGTAACAAGTCGACAAATAACATCTTTCAAAGCTTGCAGCCCGACAGACAGATTTATATCCACGGGCGATTATGGCTCTAGGGATTTTCCTGACTGAGTTGCATCTTCACTCATTTATCTGACCCTTTTATCCAAAGCAAGGATTATAATTTACATGTGCTCATTGGGATTTGAACCCACAACCTTTGCATTATTAGTTTAATGCTTGTTGAGCTATAGGAGCACCATACAGCATCACAGAGTCCAAATCTGATTGGTCCAATGTCCATGTAGCAGTGGGCATGGGGAGTGAAGGGGATTATGGGTAGGATGGGACTTACTCTGAGAACTCGCCACAGATCCACGCCGCGGCATACAGCACCTCACAGATGCCCTTGCGCTGCATGTTTCCAGACAGCAGGGGGGCGCTGTCGAGCAGGAGGGCCATTTGGCTCACAGCGAAGCCGCGGATGGCCTTGACACGGACAGCCACGTCCAGCATCTGAGAGGCGATGAGGTGCCCGTGCCGGGTGCCCTCCAGTCGGGTCAGTTCCACCAGGATGCTAATGTACCTGAGGGGGTAAAGGGGGTCATGCTTTGGTCACTGCAGCTGAGAAACCTGGATGGAACTTGGAGGTCACAGGTTTTCACTCACCACTCGAAGTTGGTGATGTACTGATAGTTGCTCTGGCTGCAGATGTCGATGATCTTGGTGAGCAGCTCGTCCCGGTAGGTCGTGCCCTCGGCTTTGTCCACGTGCAGCATCAGCTTCTTCACGATCTCCATCAGGTTCTTTTTGGACACCTATAGAGACACACACACACACACACACACACACCGGGGCTCAGGAACCATCAGAACTCTTGAATGGGCGGCCCATGTTCTGGTGACAGTTCTGCGTTCACACCCACGCTCTCGTGACAGAACGGCGGCCACGTGTGCAAGCCGGTCAGCCTGGCACAGACGCGCATGACGCAGAGCCAGATGACGTGTGGGGCAGGCGGTGCCATGGCGAAGAAGCCAGCGAGTTAAACGTGTGACATTCGCTGGAAAAACGTGCGACATTCCTCACGGACGACATGGAGAGTAACAGCTTAACGCTGAAGCCTGAACCCAACAGCCCCCACCTTTAACTATCGTTAGATTTAAATGTCATCGCTCTCGTCGCTGTGGGGGCGCCACGCGGCTCGGCGGGTAGGAACGGCGTGCCTGTAATCAGAAGGTCGCCGGCTCACATCTCAGGGTCGGCAGAGTGATTTCACCTTTGGGCCCTAAAGAGCCCAGTTGCTACAGTCAGCTTTCTGAAAAAACGTACATCGCTATGGATATGAGAGTCTGCTAAATATTATCTAAATGTAAAATCCACAGTTTCCTGAAAGATTTATTATTATTAATAATTAGTATTAATAATTATTTGTATTTCTTCTTAAAAAGCCATATATATGAAACATGAGGAAACTCGAGAAGAGTGTTACATATGACATATGATCCAGCCCCATGTGCAGACAGGGTATGTGTGTGTATGTGTGTGTGTGTATGTGCGTGTGTATGTGTTCCTTACCATGCCATAGAGCAGATCCAGGGCCCTCAGGCGGATGGACTCGTCTTTGTCATCCAGACACTGCAGAATCAGATCCTTGTGGGACTGGACTGACTTCGGATGAGTTTTCAAGATCTTGGACATGGCCAGCAAGCCCAGGTACTTCACTGAGGGAGAGAGAGAAAAGCAGAGCCTCACACACAAAGACGCACAGACTGACAGACCGACACAGAGACCCGATGAGCCACTTACAGTTCTGATCCGAGTCCTCAATCAGGATTCGGAGCTTCTGCACACAGAGCTGGGGGTGAGCAGAGAGAGAAAAGACACAATAGAATATCGACTTATTATACTAACTATATTCCAGATATTTGCATAAGCATCCATCCATCCATCACAGGGGGGTGGGGAGCCTGGAGTGTATCCCAAGGAGCATCAGACACAAGGCAGGTGACACCCTGGGCAGGAAGCCCCCCCTCCCTGAAGTAGATGGGGCTGAAGGTATTTCAGCCAACCTAGGGTTGGAGGAGTGACTTACCTGTATACTGGCGCTGTGGTTGGGCATTCCAGTTGAGAGTGAGATGAGCACTGGAATGACAGAGCCAAGCCTGAACACCAAGCCTGAACACCAGGACTAATTCTCAGAAGATACTCTTCACAATATTAAGAGCAGAGAGTTATCATCAAGCAATGACATTTGAACTTAACTCTAATTTGTAGGGACCTGCAGAGGGAGGGGGGCTGGGGGAGTGCCCCGATACCAACCCCGGGACCCTGCTTCTCCCCCAAGCAAGCACCCTCCCCTCAAAAACTCTCATCACTGCATATTTGCCCATTTCAGGATGATGCAACACTTTTGTTGCAAACAATGTTAATTTCTGCAGCACAGTAGCAGCAGGAACCAAAGTGTGAACTGACAGTGGAAAACCCGGCACCGACCTGCAATCACGGTGTTGACACACTCGTAGAGCAGAGACATGGCCGACGTGCTGAAAAGGACAAGCAGAGAAAGTGAGCGTGAGAAAAGAGCTCCTGCCGGGAGCATCTTCAGCTGCGCAGGCGCTCAGGAGACCGGCCAGCCGCCCATACCTGTGGATGAGGTTGGTCAGAGGCTCGATCAGTTTCTTCCCCAGACGTGGCTCCAAGGGGGTCAGAGCTCCGAACTGAAACCCAAGGGAAGCGGTTACACCCGACTACATTGTAACGCACAGGCAAACAGACGCAGACGTAACCGTGCAGGGAGACGGCAGATAACCAACAGCTTACAAGCTTTATAATCTTGATGAGGACCCAGTTGTTGGTGGACGAGGTCATGAGTTTGAAGAAAAGGGGAGCCAGGGACAAGTAGTTCTTGGGGTTCCTCCTGGCCAGCTCACAGATGACGTTCACCGCTGCCGACTGCACCCCTGGAGGACAGGGTCACACCCCAGGATTTAAAGCCCACTGGTAAGATGAGGAATGGCACTAGAGACAGTCAGCGTCCGGCGATACGCAACCCAGATCCACATTCTACAATAGGCACTCGCCCACCAAAAGTTCAGGAACCTGGTTCCTGGGCCGCCTTGACCAGATTTTTTTTAGTTCCCAGCCACTTACGTGTGTCGCTATCCCACCACACAATGGGAATCGGGACCTTATGCCTGAATAAGCATAGGAGATGCAAAAAGCTTGTAGACTAAAACTTTCATATGAAACTACACCAACATGCCAAATCAATAGAGGATAAGCAAGTCATTTTGTTAGTTATCTGGTTGTTACTGGGGGTTCGATCACACGATGTGAAAAAAAGGATACAGGCTTATTTATATGACCCGTGACATGTTTATAAGTCATTATTAAACCTTGCACACAGATCAATCATTCGTTTCCCATAGAAGAAAAAAAATGATGTAATGTTATTCCACTAATAAGCGCTGACAAATTTCACCGCCAACACCACTGATTAGACAAAAAGTATAATCAGTTATAGATTGAATTTTCCAATGCAGAAATATGGAGATGCATGCAAAAAGGTTTTCATTAATGCATCATATATAATTGAGACGCACAATTCCATCTGCTTATTTTTGGCTACATTACTTCTCTCTCTTTTATATGCACTTTCCCGTGCAACCACTGCCTGTGGCTAACCAATCAGCAAGTTCATCGCTAGAAGACCCACCCCAGTGGTTCCCGGAACTACATCAAAAGAACTACAAATCACACCAGGTTCCTGCGGTGGGAACGAGACAGAAGTTCCGGGTTCCTGAAAAAAGTTCCTGTGGTGCGAAGGGGCCTAAAACTCAGAACTCAGCTACACTCTAACCACTGAAGAAAAAAATTAAAAATTTCTATAGCTATTTGGGCCAGCAGGTGGCGGAGTCCACTGGTGATGTCATCTCAAATGGGTAAATGGCATTCAAGTCATTCCAGCTGATTCAGATCAACATCCCTGATCGGTCCTGAACCTTGAGTATCTCACCAGGGTCTGGGTCGTCCAGCTTCTCCTTCAGCCGGGGGAAGGCAGGCCGCAGCGATTCAGGGTACTTCAGGAACACTTTATACATGATGAGCACAGCCTTTTTCCGGATATAGGGCTTCGTGTGAGACATCTGACCGGGGAAGAGAGGAGAGCATGAGGGCGGGGCGGGGGGGGGGGGGGGACAGGGCAGCGGAACGATAAGGACCTGGGAATAGCCTCACCAGCGTCATAATGTCATTTGCCAAGTCACGGGAGAGGTCAGGGGTCACGAAGCAGGACAGGCCTGTCAGAGCCACGCCCGTGTCGTACTGGTTCGGACTGTTGAGGTCCTGAGGAGAGAAGACAGGTCAGGCCTCTCCTCCAGCTACAGAAGCCGGCTAGAAAGCCCAAAAAAAGGGCAGTCGCTGACCTTGCGGATCTGATTGGTGGTCAGCATGATGACATCAGTGCCGTCGTGGAAGCTCTGCGAGGCTGCCAAGTAACCCATTCTCTGCAGAGGAGAGAGGAAGCAGCAAGAGGCCCGTGGAAATGAGGAAACAGCAGCACAACGAGCAAGAACAAGGGCGAGAGAGACGTGGGATTCTTCAGAGGAACGAAGCAGAAAGACTTCGTGGAGTGAAGCTGTAATGAAGCCGATTCTGCTTCCGTGTGCGAAGCCAGAGGGCTTCACGAGGGAAGGGGCATCTCACCTTGTATGTGAACTTGGAGGAACTCATGACCTCCACAATGTTGAAAGCGGCCCAGCTGATGTCATAGCCCAGCATCTGCAACTGTGGAGGAGTTCACATCAAAGTGAGAGGCTTACTGTGCGCGCAGAAGGGCTCAGAAGCAAGCCCAGGCTAACCAGTATATGTCATGGTACGAGACCACATGGGCACAGTGGCTGAAGGAGCCACAGCATCATGTTGTGTATGGTGCAGGCGAAAGCCGGCCTTACGTAGGTGAGCTTGCACACGGCGTTGGCCTTGACTGAGATGTTTTCCTGCTTGAGCTCCTGCTTGATTTCATCAATACAGGTGGAGATGTACTTGGCCTGGAGGGGAATGGAGGACAGAAATCAGTGTGTGTCAAAGGGCCCCTTCACTTACATCTGCTTCAATAAACTCGGAAAAACAACAGCTTCTATTCTATCTCCAGAGTGAATACACAAACATTTTGAGCTGGCTTTTCGATCTATATATAATTCTGTCTCTGTTTTGATGACAATCGCACTGCTGCTGAAAACATTAGACTCTTATTCATAATTAATAATTTCATTTATCTGCAATTTTGTTTATTATTCATACAAAATCCTAATGGCATTGTTGTCATCGTGAATAACAACGTTTAACAATGCTTATTTATATCAAAAGGTTAGTACAGCATCAACCCCAAATGGTAAAAATAGATTTTTGCAGGATAGAATATACGTCCCACTAAAGGGGGATGCTGGGATATATCATAGCAGAACCATGTCTAAAAATAGCATTTCATCCAGGACAAACATCTCAAAAATATCTGCACCTCATAACAGAAACATTCTTTGATTTAGAGATTTTACTCAATACGAAACTCAATGAAAACATTTTTACACGTAAAAAATAACATGATTAGCTCAACTATCATTTATGTCACTCTAATATTATGTTCTTCACTTGTGTACAGATATAATACTTTTCTGTTCTCCAAGATACGCACAGGAGTTGAACTAAGAAACAAGAAAAGCTGAACTGTAGAACTAATGTTACTTGGCAAGTCTGCCAAGAGATGCTGAATGACTCTCACACACACGGCTCTGCGATTCAGAGTTTTTTGGTCATGGGGCACGAGTCATAAGGTCAGTGACAGAGGCAGGGTAAGTGGATGGGGCAGTAGGGCACCTACAGATGCCCCGACAAGAGCTCCTCTACCATGATTCTGAATGAGACAAAGCGTGTGTGTATATGTGTGTGTGGGGGCAGAACCCCATTTCGCTTTTTCAGTAAACATTCTGATACTTTTCTTCAAGACTGTTATGGTTAAAAAAAAGAAAAAAAAGTCCAGTGTTCAGAGACACAACAGTGAAGTTCATCTGTCCATCCATCCATGGTCTTTTTCAGGGTTGCAGGGGGTCCGGAGCCAATCCCAGAAGTTACAGACGCAAGGCAGGGAACAACCAAGGTGGGGGTGCCAGCCCATCACAGGGCACACTCACACACCATTCACACACACACACACACACACCAGTCAGTCACTCACACACCATTCACACACTCACCATTCACTCACACACGCACACCTACTGGCAATTTGGTAACGCCAATAAACCTCAGCATATTTTTCGACTGTGGGGGGAAACCAGAGTACCCAGAGGTAACCCCACGACGATACAGGGAGAACATGCAAACTCCACACACATGGAACCATGGTGGAGACTCGAACCCTGGTCCCAGAAGTGTGAGGTAAGAGTGTGAACCAACACACCACCCTCACAACTGCAAAGCATGTATAAATATGTCATTGTGAAATGAAGAGTCCTGCAGGGTGTCAGATGAGCAGAGACACACTGCATTGTGCACAGCTACTGGCACGGCGGTGTTGGATTCCTGCGTTTGAATTGTTTTTGCTAAATTTATACTTTTTAAAGTTATTTTCGAGGCGGGTTTCTACATCAGTTGCTTAGTGGGTCTTATATTAATCGAGGACTGACACAGCAAGTTAAGTGGCCTTTGAAGTGGAGAGATATTCACCCCTGGATCCCCAAACAGTGTGTGTGTGAAACAGGTGAAGATAGACTGTGAAAGCAGAAGTGCTCGAAAACCATGCGCCCTGATCCTTGAGCCGACAATGCTGTACTCTGTGACTATTACAGTAAATGCCTCAGTCGTGACAGAAAATGTCAAGAGAGACAGACGCACACGCACACACAAAACACGAAGACACTGAGAACATGCATTGCCAGAAGCCATTAATATTTCAGTGTACAGCTCCATGTTGCCTGGGAAACAGACATCCTACCTGGATGTGCGAGTTCACAGAGCAACACTGACCCAGCAACCTGACTCAAGGGACAGAAAGAACCCAGCCCTACAGTAGCCGTTTCAGTGCTAAACCAATATTTCTTGTCGAACTTGGAATTTAAATGGAAGTCACAGACCAATTCCTTTACTAATGGTACCATTCAGTCCTAGTGTAGCATTTTATCAACACCTCTAACTCGCAGGAAAGCTGGATCACTTGTATAGCGGCCTGACTACGCAGAGGCTGCGTCTGGAAAGCGCGACACGCGTGCACGCGCCCTTAATTGGTCACGGAACGTGAGCGCGCAGCCCGAGGGCAGAGACCCCACTGCCTTTACATACAATGCGAAAGCATCCCACAAGCAGTCAGTAATACTCAAAGCCAACTAACCACAAAATATTTCCAAACAAGTCCTATCTGTTACATGATGAGCAGAAATATGCATTTTAGATATTTATTAAACGTTATATAACGTATGTATAAAATATATGTATAGAGCAATTAGAAAACTAATCGTAATAGTAGAAATATCGACCTGTTAACGTAAATACGACTAAGTAAAGTTTCTTATAAAGTCGGCACTAACTGGCCTGAGTTGTCTGTCTGTGTTCATTAATAGGTCTATTACACAAAATACATAGGTCGACTACCACACGGTAGGATCAATTCACATTCAAATATAATATAAACGCAATAGTTACACAGCCAGAGCGAGATTAAGCAAAACCACAAACGCTAGGTTTTTCCAGGTTGAACACGAAACTGAATTCAGCGCTGAAAGGCAGGCATCCTCACGCCAGTGTGATCAGAGGGGTGTTGGGGGGTGTGGAGGGTTTGGGGGGCTTGCGTGGAAAAGGCAAACGCTGCACCACTCCCAGAGATGCTGACACGAAACAGAAAGCGGATCCAAACGCGCTCCATCATCATGCACAGCGCGGCCACCATACTGGAGAGGCATCACGCATCATATCACGCAAATATCCCGAAAATGCGGAGCGCAGACACAGCACGCAAATCACATTATCAAAACTGCATAAACGTGAGCACTGTCCTTCTAGGTACCGACACCTTGTCTAACGGTTTCTACAAATAAAAGACTATTTTGGAATTAACTTTCAATAGAACCCTTTTTATTTTTAAAGAAGTGGAGACAAGTAGTTAAATTTTATCAGCCTACCAGTGGATATAAGCAGCATACATTTCAGAATCGTGGCTTTCAAACTATACATGGCGATTGCATGCAGCAACACATGAAAATATTCTAATAATTTTCATTGATAAAGTGGTCTGGATTATAATAATGATTTAAGCCTAAATGAACACCAGTCTCTCTTTTCCATTCTACTGCCTAGTTCATAGAATAACGAGTTCTTTGAAATAAATGTGCATTTATACATGTGTATTAGTTTGAATAAAAACGATAATCACCTTTACCTCGTCATCCTTGTGATTCCTGATGCCACGTACGAGGTCCTGGAGGTTTTTATCGAATATCCGATCGATGCTCCCTTTAACTTTTTTCAAAGCCATTGCTGCGGGTTGTACGTGTCACTTTGCTGCGGGACGGAGCGGCGTAAACCCGGCTGTTCCCCCGGAGCGGCTTGACCGCAGCAGGACCGCGCCTCTGCCCAGCTTACCGGCCGGCGTCCTGGCAAAGACAACCTGCGCTCCGGTCCAGTCTACCCTGCCGTAGTCGAACGCCGCACAGAAACGCAATCCGTGGATGCAGCCAGGAAATGGCTGACAAAATGGCTTCCAGGTCAGCTGACTGTCAGTGACTGCATGCATCCATGCATGCGGGGGGGGGATGACAATCCAGGCGAGTTATAAAGGCGCTTTTCACAAGGAAGCGCTCACAATGCGGTCAGATGACTTGTGCCAGGTTAAAAAAACGCAAAAAAATTAAAAAAGACAAATAGACAAATGAATGGGGTATCATCGTTGTTAATGAAAAAACATGTATAATGAAATATAGACACAGCAACTTTATCCAGGAAAGCTGACATAACTTTATACAGGATGTTATATGGAGTCTATAGTATACTCATGCAGGTTTCGCGATATATGGATATAACATAATACATGTACTTTAATATATAATATTTATGCACTTTTATATAAATATATTCAATTTGCTAAACATGGTATTTCTCCTTCTTTATGGCTAAACGGTGTGAAAATAATGCAGTAATACAGAAACTTCGGGACGCTTTGCTAACCGTGTTGTAATTCAGTGAGACCTATCGGAGGAGTGTAAGGTGAATAAGGACCCTGTTTTAATATCATCGGGCAGGTTCTCTCCTTGGTAACTCTGGATGTACCTGCCCCCCACCCCCAAAAAAGTGTCTCATACATTTGTGTTATCCTGTATGTATGTATGAATGTCGTTTTTTTCACATGTTGACCTACTGATCCCGGTCTATTTTGAGTTTATTTCATCACAATGGTAATGTATACCCGGACTTACCGCAGAGCTTAAGGCAGATGGCACAATATTTGCCTCTATATTATCACAATTGTTTTTTTTTAAGCAAAGCATAAACAACACAACGATTTTCACTGATGTTAAAAATAAAACAACAAAACTGTTTACAGCCTATATTAGCATGAAGTTGACAGCAAATATGAAAATTGTTTTATCAAATGCTAAAGCAAATCAGCTTGATACCTTGGTAGGCCTGTTACGGGAATGCTAGACTATATTATGAACCACTAAATATGTTTATTATACAACCACAGTTTAAAATAATAATGGGTACAATTCATGTGGATATTCTCTCCACGTTACCGTAGCGTTCCTTCCACAGCCCAAGCCACGCTTGGCGTTTTCCGTGACAGATGTCTCACCCTAACACTAACTGAATAAGCGGCCCTCAATAATGCATGAACGGTGTCAAGTATGTACATCGTAACAATAGAGCAGATCACATAATTTTATCTACAAAAAGACTTCAATCTCTTATTCCAAGCAGTATTTTACATACTTAGACCATGTAATATTTCACAGTATGTAATTAGACGAAGTAACTTGACAAAAAAAAATAGTTGGACCCCATCAGAAACCAGAGTCGCATTCATCTGGTTCAGCACGATACCTGCTGCCATCATCTTAATATTTCAGTAGCTGTAAATATCAGTTATGCATAGTTAGGGTTGCAAAATTCTAGGAATATTCTTGTTAATTCCCATACTTTCCCGTTAATTCCCATGGAAAGTTTCTAATGTGGAATATTTCCAAAATTCCCCAGTTTAACTTCCCATGGAACGGAAAGTTTCAGGAAAATTTCCAGAAATTTTCCAGCCCTTTGCAACCCTATGCATAGTAGCAATTGGTCAGTTTTTATATAATTAAGGTGGGCAGCAAAAACTGAAACATTTACTGCACTGTTATTGGTGAAATTCGCACTAGAAATTCAATTCGTCGGCAAAAATTTGTCCATTAAATCTCTGAGCAGAGTAATTTGTCATACAATATACTAATGCAAGACATTTCCCATATTGAATTCTAAAGACATCTCAGAGATTAATGGTGGTGGCTTTCTTGGTAATAATGTACCAGAATATTTTAAGAAATTAAAGTCTTAAAATGAATTTCAATAGGTCATTACCATTGTAAGTTTGGTGTTAAAAGTAATCTAGACAAACTATTTTAAGGAACAGATCATCAGTATCAGGTAGACAGAGGCAAACCAGGTCGTCAGCGATGACAGAGACGAGCAATAAAATGCTGAATATGTTGGGCTATGAGCCAAGGCAGTGAGTAGTTTTACAGTAGTTAGTTATATAACACAAGGGAAACACCAATGCTTAACGACCTTTGAAACAATGAACACTGTTGCATTATGATGTTCAATATTTTGCAATGTCAATGAATATCCATAAATCAGGCCAGGAATCCAGATGCTGAGTTCAACTTAGGTAGGTCAAAAAGGAATCCGGATGTAAAACAGTTCATTTACAAACACTAACTGTATCATATAGTAATTTAGTAACGTTTATAATTTATCAGCAAATTCAAAACTGTACGCAGGCTAGTAAATGCACCCAGAATACACTAAAGAACTTGACAGTCAAGATCTGGAGTGAGGGACTCTCTCCCGTTAAGGGTATCCCCCTGCTTTGTGCCCTAAGATAGATACAATGACACTTCAGTAGATAGCTAGAACACAGAGGGCAATTTATGGTGAATATAGAAATAAAACATCCATTCCAGACGGCAGAACCACTGTGTTGACGTTTTTATTCAACTAGCATCTACCTGTTACTTTAAAAATCTTTTTTTGTGCTTTACACTGCACTTAAAACACCCAGTTATCATATGCAAAAGATTATGCCTATTTCAAACAGGCTTGAACTGAATGTTACAATCGCGCTTGAGATGCTGAAACACTAACTGAAAAAGATCATACGAATAAACCCTATATGTGTATCTGTACAGAAAAAGTACCTTTCTCTAATTAATAAGTGGAGCAGTAAAAGTTGAATGAGGACCAGACAACACGTGTACAATACCTCTGTAGTATTCAGCAAGTAACCAAGAACTGTATGCAGTAATTGTTTAAAGGTGTATTTTTCAGTTGGGGAAAAAACAATTCCCATTGACAGACTATCTTAAGTGGGACTGTCTTTTTTCCAAGAAAACCAAACAAAAGAAACATTTAAAATAATCTCGAAGATACAAGTTCAAAACAAAAGTTCACAATTTTCTTCTTTCACTACCCAATCAGAAGAGACTCTTGGCTCCTATTGGTGGGGATTATCCAATCAAGGCAAGAGACTAAGGTTCTGATGGGACCAACGCAGGGGCCAGCACAGCAGCTAAACATCTCTCCGGACATCGTACAGCTCCTCTCCGATCCTGTTCAGAGCGCTAAATATGCAATTCCTTTTCTTTCTTAAACACACACCATAGTATGAATCCTTGATGCTGAGGACAGGTAGGTTTAAAAGGGAATCGGTGGATCTTTCATATAAAAGTCAACGAGAGTACGAGAGTAAGCACAACAGGCAAAAGATGACGCCGGCAGATTCACAGGGCTCCAACGGCACCGCCCTGTCCAGCGCTGGTCACGAGTGCCTCCCCAACACAGCCCCCCCCCCCCCCCCCCCCCCCCCCCCCCCCCCCCCCCCCCCCCCCCCCCCCCCCCTGCATTTTTCCTTCAGGTCCCCTCAGCTCTCCGCGGTGGCGGTTTCTGTCTCCGCAGCGTTCGCGTGGTCCGGGTCGTCAGTGGGCCACCTCGGTTCCACTGGGCTTTTAGGGCTGAAGAGCAGAAACAGCCATTGGGTCAATCAGAGGAATTTAACGCTCTCCTCAGTCATGTGACAATTACATACATTCTACATCCAGCACTGAAGCGGACTTAACTACTAAAAATGCAGATATTCTCATGGTAATATGTTTGTTTGCTTGTTAGAGCCTAAAACTTGTTTTCTGTTTGATGCAAAACTATGAAAAACTTACATCTAATGAAAAATTTCCATCTAAGATTAGAAACCCTTTGCTCAAAGGAGAAAAAAAATATATACAAAAGCACTCACGTAGCAGGGGGCGAGGCGGTCTGGTTGTGGTCATTCTCCTGGTCCTCCTCTTTGGGACTGTAGGTCCCATCATCGTCCTCCTGTTTCAGAGTGTCAGACTCCCCATTTACCGGTGCTGAATCTAAAAACAACCAGACCGATGTAAAGGAAAAAGAGCTCAGACCTCTCATGCAGGGCGCAGAGGAAACCAGGCAAAGATTCCCACAGCCTTACCGTTCTTGGTCTCCTTTGCACTGTTCTCTGGGTCCTTGTTTTCTGGCTGGGATTTTAGCGCCCCCTCTGTCTTGCCTAGGAACTGCATTTTCAGCTTATTGTACACCTGGCTGGCCTTCTCCATCACTTCACTGCTGGCTTTATAGCGGCGAATCTGAGGCAAGTGACAGGGAAGTTAGGGGCTGTTCAACAGACAAGCAGGGCTATACATACAGGAAGATCATTAATAAACCTGTTTGGATTAAAACCCAAGCATTTCAAGTCATACACAGACATAAGCAGAGGGATGCAGCAACCTTCTTCAGCGTGGCAATGACATCGGTGTTCTTCTGGAGGAGATGGCTGGTGACCGGTACAGAGCCCAAGTCCTCTAATGCCTGCAAGCAGCGTTTGATGTCCTGGGTGGGTGGGGAGGCAGTCAGGCAAACACACATTTTACAATGTAGTAGAGCATTCATTGGCATCACAAGGTCTGTGTTGCAGGGTCCCCGATTGGCCCATTAGTGAATGACAGTGGGTGCAGAGTCAAAGGGGATTGGCTGTGCCAGTCACTCACCGGACTGTCGACCTTCAGGGCAAACTTAATGTCAGTGTGGAGCTTCTGCAGTTTCTCCTCTGGACTAGGCTCTGCCAATGGACACATGGGAAGAGAACCATATTTTCACAGACATCAATGGAGGAAAAAAAAGGGGTACAAGAAGACAAAGAAAAAAAAAAGTGCAGAAAACTGTGGCTTAAAGTCACTTAAACTTCTTGCTTTAGTTTGCATGGAATTGCATGTGCGGGGGGGGGGGGCAGGTTACCTTTTTTCTTTTCCACCTTCTTCTCCGGGAGGCGCTCTGACTTGCGTTTGAGTTTCTCCGGCTTGGTGTGCCTGGGGTGGCAAAAACATCATGAACAGACTGACCCACGGCGGCGGCCCCCCCGACAGAATAATGTCACAGGAGGACGGCCCCTCCCTCCCCCCCCCCACACTCCCTGTCCCCCACCTGCCGCGAGGCTTATCCTCCATACGCTGCACCTTCTTCTCCTTCCTCTCCCTCTCCCTTCTGTCTTTGCCGTCTTTCCCCGACCTGCCTTTCTTCTGGCTGTCCACACGTTTGGAGGCCTTCTTCATCTGAGCGGTGGGGGGTTGGTAAACAGATTAGCCACAAGACAAAGGACCTAGGGACAATTTACCTAAGCCCCCCACTCGGCATGCTGGTGACCCACCATATTCAGGGTCACTCTGAAACCCACCTCAGTTGGGGGCGAAGAGTCCGAGTCCGAGGGGGCGGGGATGGGGGCGGGTGGTGGCTTCTTGGTCTTCTTGATGGGACGATCATCGTGGTCCTCGTCGGACCTGCTGCTGCTACTTGTCCCGCCTCCACCTCCACCTCCTCCCCCTTTTTCTTTCTCTCTCCTTCGCTTCTCCTCCTCCTCACGCTCCCGCTCCCTTAGCCTCCGCAGCTCCTCCGCCTCCTCCCGCTTGCGCCGCTCCTCCAGCTCCCGGCGCCGCTCGTCGTCGCGGCGCTTCCACTCGCTGATGCGGTCCGGCTCACTGCTGCCGGAGGCCGACGTGACAGGCGCACGTGAGCTCACACACGGAGGGGAGGGAGACGGTGTGGAATCACATGAGGGAGGGTGGGGCAGCAGGGGGGCACAGCACCCACCTTTCGCTGTCAGAGGAAGAGCTGGGTGCTCGGACCGGGGCAGGTTTAGGCTTTCGTCCACGTGGTTTGGGAGGGGGCTTCTCGGCTATGATTGAGAGGTGGCAATGGGACATTAGCACCCTCTAATGGCTAAAATGGCAATTGCCACAACAATATTCCAGAAAAAAAATTAATTTGGTGACTCAAAGTCTGTCCTTTGATCAATGTGGTTTAATGTTTTGCTCAGAGATCCCCAAAGAATTGCCTCCTTACCTTTCTTACGTGCTTGTGGAGTCTTCCTTGGCGGAGGGTCAGACTCAGAGTCAGACTTAGATTTGAACCCAGACCCAGACTCGGAGCCGGACAGCGCCGGCCGCGGCTTCTCGTCTGGTTCGCTGCGACCCCCGTTGTCGTCGGAGTGGGACGCGGAGTCGGAGTCTGATTCGGATGCTGGCTTCTGAAGTAGCAGAGGTGACCAAGAAACAAACAGCAGGAGAGAGGGAGGGAGAGACATTCAGGGACCGCTTCCTGCTGCTGGAGCGGTATGGAGCGGTATGGAGCGGTATGGAGCGATATGGAGCGATATGAACAGTTTTTTCCTTACTTTTCGCCTTCCTCTCCCAGCTCCTCGCTTTCCTCCTTTGGGTCCTGCCTTCTTCTCCGGAGTGAAGTCCTGGCAAACAGAAACACGTCAGCCTGCCGGCTTTGTGCCCAGCACCCCAGGGGTGGGGGGGCGCCGTGGACAGTTACCTGGTCGCTGTCCTTGCTGAAGTCCGAGTCCGAGCTGGGGGATGGCTCCGGCTCAGAGGGGGAGCCGCTCTCCTGCTCGTCCTCCTCGGCACGCTCCGGCTCGCTGGAGGAGCCACGCGACCGTTTCAAGGGGGGCCGCTGTGAGCACAGGGACATGCTCAGGTACAGGCAGATTCTAAATTGTACTACAGTGATATTAAATTCAGATACCGGAACTCCTTCAACCTCCTTATAAAAATGGCATCTGTTATAGGGCTGGGCTATTAATCAAATTTTAATTTCCATTAGGTTTTTGGCTTCCAATGATTATCAAAATGAAATAAATAGAGATAAAACGATTATTGTTTTATTTGCAATGACGCTCCCGTTTTGTCTTGTTATGTATTCAGACACCCCCCCTTTCCACCCCCCTTTTGTTTCTCAGTTGAATTACATTTAGAGTTCAAGAATATTTTTTTAAAAGTTCAAGAAATGCATGATATTTCCAAAGTCAATGAGTAATTGTGTTAATCATGATCTCAGGACAGACGGAAACAAACATGATTATAACTTTTTTCTCTCCAGAATCAGGCAGCCCTAATCTGTAACGCCAGAATGATTAAACATGGGCATAGTTAAGCTATCAAGTGATTCCCTGTCCTCAGTTATTCTTTTGTTGTCAAATCTCAGATCCCATGAGACAGTAATGGTGCACCTGTCTTTCCAAAACGATAACACACCAACCTTAGCCGTGGGGGCTTTCCGCTTCAGCCCCCCTTTCCCTCGTCCTCCGTCCTCACTGCCGGAGTCGAACTCCTCCTCGCTCCCAGAGTCGGCCTTCCTTGGGGCCGCCGCTTCCTCGGCGTCACTCCCCGCTTCGTTGGCCTCTGCCTCACTCTCCGAGGAGCTGGCCGGCTGGGACGACACGGAAACAGGAGAGCTACATGCAGCAAAGTGTCAGGGGACGCATGCGACACACAGAAACGCAGCCTGCATGTTTGCGGCAGGTCTTGGAGTGCATTTCATAATCCATTCATTCATATGATATGGCAAGAATATGCAAACTCCACACACACAGGTATGGGGCAGAGACTCGAACCCTGGTGCTAGAGGTGTGAGGCAACAGTGCTAACTGCCAGACAAGGCACACCCTCCTTCCCCCACCGCCACCCCCACAGCTGGAACAGCAGGTCATGTAATTTGCTCTTTAAACGACAAAGCGACACCCTGTGGTTCAGGGATGAGGGTTTGGCTGCCACAGCTTATGCAGGCTACTTTAGCATGCAAGTAAGTCTACGAAGTGAGAAGCTCAGGTTTTCGTCACAAGGTGAGACACAAAAAAATGAGCCGCACAGTGCAAGCCGTCGTGCAAGTGTGTCTTACTGCAGGCATGCTGTAGGACGCGTGTGGGTTGTTCTGGATCTCCCACAGGCCCTCATTGAAGCCCTTCCTCTTGTTGGGCTTGCCATAGCGGTCGCGGTACTTCTCGTAGGCGAAGAGGTCCTTTGGAGCGAGGAATGCACTGGGGAGAGAGAGAAGGCACAAAACAGCCAAAACTATATTTCAGGCAATAAAACATTTTCAATACTTATAATTTTTTCTTGTCAACATGGTGGTGCTATTGCATCAGCCACAATTATTTGCATATTGGATGAAATTAGAATTAAACCTGTGGAGAGCAACATTAATATAGTAGATGCTGCATTATTCCTGATATGAAATAGTACAGTAACCTATCCATCCATTTTCTGTTTCTGTACCCACTTGCCCTATATAGGGCCTAGGGGGTTTGGACCCCATCTTGGAAGCAATGGGAACAAAGCAGGGAACAACCCAGGACGGGGTGCCAACCAATCACAGGGCACACGGCACACACCCACCATTCACAACTACAGGCAATTTGGCAACTCCAGTTCACCTTAACAGGTTTTTAGACTGGGGGAAAACCCCAGGGGGACACAGGGATAGTATGCAAACTCCAAACAGGGAGCGATGGTGGGGACTCGAATCCTGGTCCCACAGGTATGAGGCAACAGTACTACGCAGCACATCAATCCGAACCACTGTGGATTTCAAAGCAATGTTTCTCTGTTCACTAATTCTAAGAATGACAACAACTGTTAAAGTTTCTTTCACAGATGGTATTTTTTGCTCTATTACTAAAAAAAAAAATCTAAACTTAAAATTTCAGATTAGATACTGATGACATATAGAAGTTATCAATAAAGTCTTGTTTGGTGCCACCTAGCGGTAATCAAAAGTAAAGTAAGCTCGCATCTGCCATTTTACGAATAACCTTAAACTCATCGTATTAAAGCACTTTAAATACTTTACAACATCAGCTCCGCCAAATATCTCATTTTTAAGAGAGGTTTACAAGACTTAGCAGTATTACCTAACTGCATAGACAAAGTCCATTCCTGATACTGGCTATGAACTAATACATGTATGATAGATACCTCACATTTTATAGGACAAAAATTTGCAGGAAAAATAAAACTTCATTTTGAATTAGTTTGTGTCACGTGTACCAAGACTTTACATACCTTAATTCAAAATGATTGCTGACATAAAATATACATGCATGTAAATGAAAGTCACAGGAGTGACGGGATAAATGTGAATGACTCTGGGCCACATGTCAGTGGCTCAGGACCACCGCCTCCCTCACTCACGAGCTGTACTCACGTCTCATGGGTCCCAAAGAAGAAGATCGGAATTTTATTTGGTGGAGGTTTCACTGCCCCGTCAGCCACATCTTCGATCTGGGTGGAGTGAAAGGAAGAACGTGACATCTTAAAAGATAAACCGAAACATTGGAAAGAGCTCCTCATCCATTACTCTCCTGCCATGCACGAAGGCATCCTAATATGTTAAAATGGTGAGCAGGAACTCGTAAAGGAAATACTCCTTATAGTGCCTACGGCCATAACATCTGTTCTGTCTGTATGAATACTGCCAAGCAGAGTTGCGCAGATCGGTTTTGTTTAACAGTCTTTCACGCTGCATCAATAATTAACAATTCTTTAATTGGGGAAAAAAACGAATTCTTATTTTCTGAGGGATTTTTCAAAGTATAACGTAACCACGTGCAGAATTCTGGAGTAAATTATGAGTAACATATGACAACTGCTACAAAAACTACATCTACAAAATTGTAAAAAGTAACGCGATCATTCACGTTGTCAAAAAATTACAATAAAGTTTGCATTTCTTTTTTGCAGGCTAAAACCCATAAAATAAAAGACGATAACTGTCGTTTCAAAGCCGCAGACGTTGATTGGGCTAGTTATTTTCCACTCAAGACTCACTGTAAAACTTGGGACATTCTGCAACCCTGAAGCCAATAAGGAAATGACCACAGAGAGCGACAAAGATGAAAAACATACTGATTTCCATGAGTTCCAACATACTGAAGATAACACCTTGCAGAATTACACACAACTATCAGCTGACACTAACATCTCAGCAACATGCAATATCTAAAGGAAGCCAATAACTATCGTATACTAAACAGACACGATTGTTCAGTCTGTGTCAAACAGAAAGCCTGCACACCGAACCCCCCTGGCGACGCAAACGCCCCCCATCACTAAAACCCCGCGGTGCGGTGCAGGCTTACCCGGGCCGGCCAGTGGGGGTACCCCTTCATTTTGGCGAACACCAGGTCCCCAGGCTGAAAATTGTGAGGCATCTCTCTGTCCGTACGATCGCTCTAAGCTATATATCCTTTCTTCTGGCGTTTTATGCGTCTCGTACCCCTCAGGTTTGAGGCCGACACGAAACCTGCTTCTCACCCCACAACACAGCGCGAGACGGCGGCTGAGTTGGACCGTAGCTTCCTGCAACTCTCAGGGTTACAGACAGGATGTCCCGCCCTCTTTTAACATTTCTATTTGCGAAGCGTCCCGTCATTCACAGTCTCCCACGAATGGTACGGCGCGGTGTGTAAACTGCAAAGAGAATCCGGCCTATGATGTCAATTAACGTTATTCAATTAAATATGTTTTTTCGTTAGAAACATGATTTCAAACAAATTTATCTGAAAAGATTTTTTTTTTCCAAAACGCAGTATGTATAGTGATTACGTCGATATTCTAAATTTAAGTTAAAGCAAGCGACTTCGCGTGCGCAACCAGATAATGAATTATGAGCTGCTTATATAATGCTAGGGGGTACTGGAAATTATCTTTAGGTTAAACAGATTACAGGCAATCAAAATGCTTTAAAATTTTAGCCCTTTGCTGGTTTTAGCCTTTCGCGTGTTTTGTGTAATTGACCCTCTGTAAAGACACAAAGCGCATTTGTTTATTATTCATCCTTATTATGGTCTGTAAACATCCATTTTAATTTTAAACCATCTTCTTGAATGTAGTACAGATATCATTAATGTCATTGTGCTTACCTGACATGGATAAAACTATAGGCACAACTGCTACATAGATGTCACAATTAATATTTGCATTTCTGATCAGAAACTCCTCTAAGTATGATGTCTGTTTCACACCCTAAACAGTCAACGAACTTGTATCACAAGTCATGTACAGAACGACCTGATAACATATTACTACAGTATAGTACATGCAGGATCGTTAGGAAAAAGCAGGGGTATCAACAGATGGGATCATAATTAAATAATGTATTGCTGCATGATGCCATGACATTTTTTTTTGTACAATGCCTTCACTATTCCTTATCAAACATTTAGTGTCTTTCCTTACAGTCTACATCGTTCTATTTTTCTCTCGTCTGCTAAATCTTTTCTGTTCACCTGTTTATGCTGCAAAAAAATTCTGGTAACTTCAGGTAACTTGTGCTATGCTATGAGAGGATCTTTAGTTTCAAAATGTTTTCGTTAAAATATGGATTATCTATATTTTTATATAGACTATTTACTATTTCTCTCATCAGATATTGTAATTTATGTTCAAACGCACCTTACGTGCACGTCTTTCTTATTCTACCCAGTTTGTCACACTGCATTAGGCAATTCAGTTAATTTCAAATTCAGTTATTTGATACAAAAGTACAAAATCCGGGTTCACGTTAGTGCTAAAGAATATTTAAAAACCAGGGGTATAATGAATTTAAAGTGTTCGTATTTGTAAGATGTTGTGAGTCCATGTCCAACATCTCCCGACACGCCTTCTGGCAATTTGCGCTGGGATTTGTAGTTTTCTGACTTGTCCCCGCTAGGAAACTGGAATCGGTGGGACCTGAATAAGAACTACAAATCGCAGCAGGCCGGAAGTCACCTTACCCCAGCATCACAGACAGGGGCGGGCGTATCCCGAGCTGGAGTTAGCGGTCCTCTGGTAATTATTTCTGAAAATGTTTTCTTTTGTTTTTCAGTAATAAAAAATTATATTATTGCAAAATCCGCTGGGTACATATACCGCATGGCTTCTCTGTTGTTCTCAGTGAAATGGAAAATTTGGACTGGTTAGTCAAATCATCATGTGCACAAAATCATTTTTGAATGGAGTGATGCTCCGTACGTGTGGCCGATGAGCTCGCTAGCTTTACATTTGATACAACAGCTTGCTAGAAGAGAGCTTGCTCATATGACTGATTTGCGTGTTGTATTATTTATGACAACTTGTTTAAAGCAAAACAGTTTTAATTTACGTAATGTCCAATAGCCTGTTTCTAATTTTACTGTCGCTTGATTTGGGTAATTAAAGGGTTGTCTCCTGTAGTGCAAAACCTGTGTGTATATCTGAATTGTTTTTCTAGCAAACACAGAGAAGAACCACTTCCCAAGATATCAAGCGTTTCAGTGATTAATTCGACGACACGCTCAGCAGTATTAAGATGTTACTTTGTCCCGCTTGTAGTCCCAGCTGAACATGGACCTTAAGAAACCTACGTTTTTTTTGTAAGCCACTTAATGGTTATGAACCAGTTGACAGCCTGTCAGAGTCGCTATGGAAGACAAAATATCTGCATTATATTTGTACAAAAAATAACATCGTGCAACATGATCACTGCAGAAAATTCAATTCATATCATTGCTTAGACAACATTTCACTGAAATGGGAAGTTCACTGAATTATTTGTTTGTGTGTACAGTGAGACTGGACAGCCGAAACGATCGCCATAATGCCAGGTGAGTCTGAAGTTAACCGCAGTTTCAAATGACCTGTCCGTCCCATGTCTGCAAAGCACGTCCTCGTATAAGCACACTTTTCTTGGTTCTGTGTCTGTGCGCGTAGAGGGTATGAACAATTTCCCCCTGCTGCCCTGGTTCATACCCATCAAGCCCTGCTTCTACCAAAATATAGAGGAGGAGATCCCTGCACAGCACCGCCGACTTGTACGTCGGGCGTACAACCTTTGGATCTGTGAGTAGAAGGGCTTTTAATGTGATTATACGATTTGTTTTGTCTGAATATATTATTATTTTTCTATGTTCTACTTCACTGCATTTTTTCAAATTAATAACAACAATTCTCTTTTGGCCTTTCTCCTTGCCGCAGTGTATTCCTTAACATTATGCGTGAACGTGGTGTCCTGCATAGCCTGGTGGGCTGGTGGGGGCAGTGGGGCCAATTTTGGCCTCGCGCTGTTGTGGCTGCTGCTATTTAGCCCATGCAGTTACACCTGCTGGTTTCGGCCCTTGTACAAGGCATTCCGGTAAGTTCTATTCAGGTCGGCATACACACTACAATTTTTTTAAAAGCCAGCCTGAATGTCCTGTTTGATCCATCATTATACACTCAATATCCTAAAAATAAATACATTAAATACAACTCACAATATTTATATCGTAATTGGAGCATTTGATAGGTTTCCCTCGTGATGTGCCAGTCAAAACAATGTGTGCCACAGAGCTGCTATCGTACAAGTATGTTGTGTTAGGTGTTGCTGGGCGATCATGTGGTGCGGGCCAATCGTGCATTTTTTTTAGAGATTAGTATGTAAATAGGGAAAATGAGAAAACAAACCATTCGAGAGAAAACATATCTTACAGTGTGTGTGTGTGTTTGTGAGAGAGAGAGAGAAAGAGAGAGAAAGAGAAATTCTATGGGAGATACACTTCATTGTGCTGTTAGTGACGCTTCTAGATTTTGGAACATCTTCATTGAATTTCTTTGTACTGTATTTTTTTGTTGTACGCGAAGCTAACTTTCAGTTGCTCTTTGAAATATATCTTGCTTGTTTGTGGGAGGAGATGCTTAATACCATGAATCGTTCTTGCTTTTTAATTTGCAACCAAACGAGTGCGTTACACATAAACCCGAGGGTGGCGTTAACTTGGCACATAGCCAACATTTATGCAACTTCTGACTGGTGGATGAGACATGAATAAGGATCATCACTCAGTGCAATAAGAAGAAAACAAAGACGTCGGCCTTACACAATAGGACGGAAATAATAAGACCCGGTGTTCTTTTCCTACAGGGCGGACAGTTCCTTTAACTTCATGACGTTCTTCTTCATCTTCTTCCTCCAGTGTGTGATTGTCGTCATCCAGGCTGTAGGAATCTCTGGCTGGGGTGCATCGTGAGTGTAGGGGAGTTTTCCCCCAAATTATCCATATTTTTAAATTTAAAAAATAGTTTAAAAAGTTATTCTGGGGGCTGACATTCTGCACTAGAAATTGGATAGAAAACTCCTGACACGTGACCATTGAGCAATCAGTAACATGAGTCTAACTCCACCCCCTCTTCCTTTGCCCCTCCTCCTCTCTGGCCCCAGTGGTTGGGTGGTGACGGTCCTGTTTTTCTGCATCAATGTTGGCTCTGCTGTGGTGATGCTCCTCTCCGCTCTGCTCTTCACCCTGGTTGCAGTACTGATGGGCCTGGTTCTCATTAGGGTGAGGATTGTACATCTATTAATGCGGCTATTGAAACAGACAGAGAAACAGACAGGCTCTTTGAAAATTATTTATGGCAGCCACATGCCCCGTGTCAGCGTGAATGTTTATTAACTTGTTTAGGTGTTAGTGTGTTTCGAACTGTGTCTGACCAAAACTGTCCCTTTTATGGAACATAACAACAATATTAGGATATTCACTAAAGTTAGGCTTAATTAGTCTTGCAAGTAATGAAAGTTACAGTCATATTAGAGTGCATAAGTATTTAACATGCAGGCACAGACACAGACCAAACACTTAGAAATCTATCTTGACAGGTACACCGCCTGTATCGGGGTAGTGGGGGCAGTTTTCAGCATGCCCAGGAAGAGTGGAGCAGTGGTGCCTGGAGAAATGCTCCCGTTAAGGAGCCTGACTTCAATGCCATCCCCAGTGGCCCAAGTCTGCCTCAGTATCCAACTGCAGTGCCCAGCTACCCAGACAATGGGCCGTGGTGATACCCTGACTGTACAGCAGAGGGAGCCCTAGTACAGTCCAATGTTTTTCTGGTGAAACTACGAACTGGGTATAGCTTCTGGGTAAACTTGACACATTAGTGTCAGGACTATGCTGGAGGGAAATATTATATTAAAAAGAAAAGCATTCGAGTTACCGCCCATGTATATGCCATATTTCAGTTGGCCACACCTTGTTTTGGACAAATGAGAGGAAAGCATTCTATTATTTCTTGTGTAAATTGCTTGGTACAAAAAAAAGCCTTTATAGAATTTTCTGTTTTGTAATGTACATATTATGAGGCTAGAGATATCTGCGGTTATGGAGAAAGAGAAGCATCTGGAATTCTCTGTGTACGTAAAGCATTTGCAAAGGTTATTGGGAGTAGGGTAGCTGATTGATGAAGTCAACATTGCTAATGTCAAAATCTCATGAGATAATAGCGACAGTGAATTCATCCACACAGCTGACTGAAACGTTGGTTATGAGACAGTAATAATAATCGCATGGCTTCTAGCTTGTTGTGTGAATATTTGTTTTTTAAATGCTAGCAAGCTATGGCTAGAATTACTGTAGAACACCGTTTGTTCATAGTAATGTAGCAAACATGGTGTTAGCCAACAGGACAAATAATTTGCCAAATTTTTTATTGCTCTTATTTACTTTGAGTCCTCAAAAAAACACCATCTCCTACTAGACATAGCGTCATACTCGCATGATCATGCCAACATGATTCACTTCACATTACTCAGTCTTAGTAAGAATATTATTTGACAAAAACAGATAAGGATTTTGTTTATCACGTGTTCAAGACCAATGCAAAACACATACCAAATATCTCAGCTCAGAATGTAATGTGTAAGTTAAAATGTTTTAAACGGAATACAGCAGTTCATTTACTGTTAAATACTACTGAGCTGCAGGAGATATATTTTGCCATAAATCCAGGTAATAGTTACACAGCTTTTCTGTATGATTATATGTATATAGCTTGACCCTCTTACTCAGTAGCAGGTCTTTTTGTGGGTTAGACATGGCCTGAGCATATGTGCTGTAGGTTTGAAGCAGCAAGCATTACATGGGGGCCGGTGTTTAGGCCTCTGACCAAGCTTGAGGTGAACAGACTGAGGAGTGGAGCGTTGAAAATGTGCCTGAGTTTACGACACTGAAAGACAAACACAGGAAATGTGCCTGAATTGTACAGAGACAGACTTAGCAAATTTGCAAATTTAGCACCTCAAGCCATCCCCCCCCAGTCTTGCACATTGCCTTAATTGTGATTGTCTTCATGGTCCAGGGGGGTGTTTTGGAAGCTGTTACACACACCTGACATAGAGCTGTTTAAGTTTGTGTTTTTTTGTGCATGGAATGTAGAACCTGGCTTTCTTCCATAACCCAAATTCCATGTTGTCTTTGGCCTAGTTGCTGTTCCATGACGGTCTCCCTTGACGTGTCTTCAAATGTTCTGTATATACAGCCTTATAGTCTGGATGGAAAAACACCTGTGTTTTGCATTTCTGAACACTTGTTTTGAAAATGTGATATGTTCTATTTAAAGTTGTGTTTTTCTTGTGTTTGCACTTCACAGATGTTCTCGCAGGGATATGATCTATATTGCTCTGGATACGTACATATATTATTTAATGCCATTTATAAATGATGTATGCATTCAAATATAACTGCGTTATTGTTTTTTTAATGAAATATTTCCACGAGTTTTTAAAATGCAGCTATAATTTTCATGCCTGCGTAATTCACTGCCTGATTTAATGTTATGTCAATAAAACAAAAATATGTGATTGCATTTCCCTGTGATGCCCATGGGTGCGTATATTTGTTGAAAAATTCACAGATATGACATGAAACATAGTGTTAAGGTATTATTGGTACTATATCTCCTTAAAAACGTATATTGAGTATATAATCTGTCTAAATGTTCATTTTCCTTTCATTTTAATCTAATAACAAATATGGATTAAATACTGCACCTGTTATTATATTACTTTCGGCCCCAGACATTTGAAAAATGTACCCCTCCTGTTGTACATTATGTTGCTATGTAGGAGCTGGGAGGGAGCAACAATGCGGACTGTCTGGCAGGGAGTTAGGAGGGAGCAAAAACGTGGACTGTCTGGGGGTCCCCAAGGCCCAGGTTGGGAAACATTGAGGCCACACACAAATACATGTGCCTTTGAACTGTGTTAGAACATTTAAACTTTTAAGACAATTTGTTGGGTACTCCTTTTGCGTGTGCTCTAGTCATTTTCGTGCTCTACCACTGGGTGGCGCAAAAACAAATACGTTCCAATGACACGCATGTTATTGCCTCACATTTTCAATCACTTTATTCTTTAACTTTGAAATAAATAAGGGAGACATTGAGAATAAAGCCAAAGGAGAGGTTTTAGTCACACTGTTGTCATGTGGGCAGAGCCGGTAGACCACATGCTGAAACGTGAAGCGAGCCGGGAGAGCACACGCTAAACTGACACCGATTCTTGTGAAAACCAGCAAAGGTTGAGGTGAGACCACAGTGCAAGTTAAACTTCCAAATAATCATAAAGTTTTAACCCTTTGTTTGCCAGGGATTTGAAGTTCCATGACACATTCCACACAGATTTAAGTGCCGTGAAGGTTGTGGGACGGTGCATTGAAAAATCCACTTAATGGCAGGCTTTAAGTCGATCCAGGGAGACGTGACGGGATTTTAACATATCACATGCAGCGCAGGGCACTAGCCAGGGATACGCCCATTTCATGTATTACGTTCTGGAAGACTGAGAGCCAAATTTTTTATTGCTCTTATTTACTTTGAGTCCTCAAAAAAACACCATCTCCTACTATGACTGATTTGTAGTCATGACTGATTTGTAGTCCCCGCCCATCTTATCGCTAATATGCCATCAAATGGGATGCTTATCACTTATTTCTTAAAGATAAAAACAGAATATATGAAATAAAATATCAAACTGAATAACCAAACCTACTGACCAGTTGCAGGGACATCCAGGACGTAAATTATTTAACTTAGACAGAAAGTTTGACGTGACTATTCAGCATTCTCAATCAGTAAAGAATTTCAAGAATTAAGCTTGACAGGCCATCGACTTTGAATTTAACGCGTTTTCATTTTTTAAAATAATGTGTAATTCCTTCTTATACAGTATCACGCATACTCACCGTACTCACGTAAAATGCGCTTCTCTGAGCCTGCGCAAAACGAAGAAAACACGCATGTGCAGTTTGTGATTTTGTCAGACTAAGTCCCATTTGTGTGGCCATTTTTAAGCCTGATTTAAAACATTTAACCTGTAGAATTTATTAAATCAATTAAACAATATTAATTTTGTTCCAAATATTCAATAGTTACTGTTTGTTATTTGACTTCCCAATCAGTTATATTTAGATATTTTATATTGAAATAGTTCACAGTGCAACATTTTATTTACGCGACATCATTGAAGAAGGCCCCCTTCGTTGGTCTGTTCGTCATGGGTTCGAGGACACACAGCCGATCAAGATCCAGGTCCGGGTCTCGATCTCGGTATCGACTGAAAACGAAAAGAGACAAAAGTCGTTCTCCTGATCGGAGGGGCGATCGAACTTGTTTGGGAAAAACGGAAGTTGAAAGGAAATCCAGGAGGAGAGAACGGTCCGACAATAGCGGTAGTAGAGAGAGGTATCGCTCCGGTATCGGTTCTGTTCATTCACCACACGGCTCCGGCACAGACTCAGACAACAGCGACAGGAATTCACGAAGCCGCGGAGAGCCCGATTTGAGTAGAAGACGTGTATCCAAGGATAGGTCTAGGTATGTGAGTGTACCTGAGATCTTACGGTGTTGGTTCGGCAATACCTACCATTTTGTTATAAAGTTGTATTTGTTTTTAAACATATGCATTTTAACTGCTTGTGCTAAGTAGTACTCAAAGTATTGCCGTTATAATTAGCAGTCGTAAACTTAGAAATGTTTAAAGCTTGTTGTACATTTTAGGATTTCTTTGATCTCAATTTATTTCCCCAGCTCTGCATCAGAATATGATACAGAAGAAAAGAGAAAGAAAAGTAATAAAAAGAAAAAGCCCAGGGATGAACACAAGGAGATGAAACAGAAAAGAGAGACCAGAAGCATCTCACCGCCGGGTATGGATTCCAGCTTGGAGAGGAGGAGGAGGAGGAGGAAGAGCAGCGAAAGGAGAAGTCGGGAGAGAGGAAATAGGAGCAGCAGCTGGGAGAGAGGGAGGAGAGAACGAGACAGGGAGAGGAGAAGCCGAGAGAAAGAGAAAAGAAGCGGAGATAGAAAAGCAGAGAAAGGTGAAGGAAGGGAGCGAAGAGATGACAGAAACAGAAGACGCTCCCAGTCAAACTCCTCGGTGTCTTCCCAGTCTTCGGGCTCACAGGCGGCAGACAGGAAGGGCTCCCCAGGGCCAGATGACCATATGGTAGTCCTGGAGGAGAAGAAGAAGAAGAAGGAGATGATGAAAGCCCTGGAGACACCTGAGGAGAAGAGAGCACGGCGACTTGCTAAGAAAGAAGCCAAGGAGAGGAAGAAGCGGGAGAAGATGGGCTGGAGCGAGGAGTACATGGGCTACACCAATGCAGATAACCCGTTTGGAGACAACAACCTGCTGGGTACCTTCAAGTGGCAAAAGGTGAAGGTGGAGAGTTAAAGGTGGAGAGTTAAAGGTGGAGAGTTAAAGGTGGAGAGTTAAAGGTGGAGAGTTAAAGGTGGAGAGTTAGACTGGCCAAAATGTGAAGCAGAACTGCTCCCTAGCTAGTATCGCAGAAAGCAGGATAAGTCTGTAGGTCAGCTAATGTTTCTAAACCTTTTTATATATTTGTAATCCCATTGACTTACCTTATGGAGAATCGGGACCTTGAGTTATCTAATAGGGCTCTTCCGTTTACCAAAGTGTGTTAATTATGTGTGTCGGGTGTCGCTCCCTGAACGCTGCGTGTGTGTTGGTGGCTGCGACAGGCTTTAGAGCTGAAAGGTATCGGCCACCTAGGTGAGAAGGACCTGAAGGAGAGGAACAAACACATCCAGGAAGAGAACCGGCGAGAACTGCAGAAGGTAAGACCACGCGGCACTGGCTGATGGTCACGTAATACGGCTGCTTGTGGACCTGTCACGCTGTGTGCTAATAATAATAATGGTAGTAATAATAATAATAAATAACTAATAATGTTTTTTTTGAGAAAGTAAGAACAAGGAACTGGGGATTATTTCCTTAATTATCAGACAAACCAAAAGAAAATGATCAAATATTTATGTAACACATCAAATACTTTTTCCACTCAAAATTAAGCCATTCATGATGATAATTTAGTTATCTCTGAAGTGATATAAAATTTTTCTCCTAGAGAATAGATGTTCTGGCAGCTTTTTCTGCGATAATGAGGACAGTGAGTCATAAAGTATTTTTAAATCATTACAAAAATATTTAACGTTCAGTGGGCATAAGCCTTGGTGCACGGTGCTCAGAAAGTCTTGGGATGCTTGCTTAAAAAGTTCATTGGCAAGCAGTCCCATTGGGTGCTTCTTAATTAGTAACGCCTTTGCAATAACATAAAACACCAAAAATTTGTGTTTAGTATCTCTTTGGTAGCCAATGCCTACAAGTGCATTTAATGGCAAGAACAGAACTGAATGAATCCGTTAAAAAAACTGACAATAAAACATCTGTGTGGAATATATGTGCAGGTATGTTATAAATTGCATGTCAATGGACTTTAGTTGTAAAACCAATAAATTTGCATTTTTGCAGAATTAACCAAGTGTCCCAAGACCTAAAGACTTTTGTATTCTTAACTTGAATACAGTCTCTAAACGAGGAGAGGATGTAGTGCAACAAAGGACTGAATTGAAGTGATGTGTTGTGATGGGTTAGGAAATTCTAAGCGGGGGAGAGGTTAGGCCTACGTAGGTTTTTTGAGGAGCTGGATATCTTCAGAATAGAAGCTGCACATGAGATGTGATTTGAGTTGCATCTCTGTGACGGGAGCTTAGCGAAGACATCAGCGAATTATACAACATTCCGCATTCTACAACGGATTCTATTTTACTTATTGAATTCCGTGATTCCCTCTGCGTTTTCCACATCATAGGGCCCTACACGTGGTACACTGGCATGTGTTAATCTTTCCTGTGTTCAAAGCTAAGTATGTGGTAAACATGCTACAGTGTTAGTGTGCACTCCTCCGTGTGCGTTAGTGCAGTACACGCGTGTGGCCCCTCTCTCCCAGGTGAAGCAGCTGCGTCTGGAGCGAGAGCGTGAGAAGGCCATGCGTGAGCAGGAGCTGGAGATGCTGCAGCGCGAGAAGGAGGCGGAGCACTTCAAGACGTGGGCGGAGCAAGAGGACAACTTCCACCTGCATCAGGCCAAGCTCCGGTAAGCCTCTTCCCGGGCCGTCTTGGGTGTCGAAACACTGTTCCGAGATCAGATTCCTGGCTGCAAAATCAAGTCGTTGGCTGTGTCCTCC